CATCCATCCATCCATCCATTCTTCCATCCATCCATCCATCCATCCATCCATCCATCCATCCATCCATCCAGCCATCATCTTTACTCGCTTCTTCTTCTTTTCGGGTTGCGGGGGTCACTGGTGCCCATGTCCATGTCTGTGAGAGAGATGAGGGACACCTGGACAGGTCTTCAGTCCATCACAGCACTTTAAGGCAACACACCATATATCTTTTTTATGCCTCTCAGACAGAGGAACAAGATTCTTTATTTTGATGTCCCATCATGAACCCTGAGCTGAACCATCAAACATCTGTGGAGAGCTGAATCCTGTCTGACCTGACTGAGCTTCAGAGGGTTTGTAAAAGAACGGCATGAAATTCCCCAACCCATGATGTGTTCAAAGCTTGATGTATCACGCTTAGAACGATCCAAGGCTAATAGTGCTGCCAAAGATGCTATGAAGTCCTGATGAATCAGAAAATAAAACAAGTTTAAACAATTAGACTACAGCCCAACTAAATCACACAAAGAGAAAAAGGTATGAAAACTTTCTGAACACACTGTATTGTAGCATGTTTGCTCAGTTGAAACATTAGTTAAAATAGCAGTATGGTTTCATGCCAAGAAAGAGCACCACAGATGCCGTCTTTGCTTTGAGGATGCTGATGGAGAAGTACAGAGAGGGTCAGAAAGAACTCCATTGTGGATTTAGAAACATCATATGACAGGGTGCTGAGGGAGGAGGTGTGGTATTGCATGAGGAAATCTGGAGTGGCAGAGAAGTATGTTAGACTGGTACAGGACATGTATGAGGACAGCAGGACAGTGGTGAGATGTGCAGTAGGAGTCACAGATAGCTGCAAGGTGGAGGTGGGATGCATCAAGGATTAGCTCTGAGCCCCTTCTTGTTTGCTCTGATGCTGGACCGACTAACAGATGAGGTCAGGCAAGAATCCCCGTGGACATGATGTTTACAGATGACATTGTGATCTGTGGTGAGAACAGGGAACAGGTGGAAGAGAACCTAGAGAGATGGAGGTATGCACTTGAAAGAAGAGGAATGAAAGTCAGCCGTGGTAAGACAGAGAACATGTGTGTGAATGAGAGGGAGGAGGTGGAACAGTGAGGCTACAAGGAGCAGAGGTCACAAAGGTGCAGGACTTCAAGTACTTGGGGTCCACTGTCCAGGAAAATGTAGTGTGTGGTAAAAAGGTGAAAAAGAGAGTCCCGGCAGGATGGAGTGGATGGAGAAAAGTTTCAGGTGTGATTTGCAACAAAAGGGTGTCAGCAAAGGTCAAAGGAAAAGTTTACAAGACAGTGGCGAGACCAGCTGTGTTGTATGGTCTGGAGACAGAGACATTGACAAAAAAACATGAGAAAGAACTGGAAGTGGCATAAATGAAGATGTTGAGGTTCTCCTTAGGAGTGACAAGGATGGATAAGATTAGGAATGATATAATCAGAGGTACAGCACAGGTTGAAGAACTGGGAGATAAAGTTAGAGAGGCCAGACTGAGATGGTTTGGGCATGTCCAGAAGAGGGACAGTGGGTATATTGGTGGAAGGATGTTAGAAATGCAGCTGCCAGGAAGAAGACAAAGAGGAGATATATGGATGTAGTTAGAGAGGACATGGAGGTGGAGTGAGGACAGAGGATGCGGAGGACAGAGTGAGATGGAGGAGGATGACTCACTGTGGAGACCCTGAAGAGGGAAAAGCTGAAAGAAGATGAAGAAAGAAGAAGAAGTATACAAAAACTACCAGTTAGTACCATGTTTGTGGCACCAGCTACATTATAAAACACAAAAAATACTAATTTGCACCACATCACATTTTACTGATCCAGAACTGGAAAAACCACCATTACACATATTTCCAACCAAGCTTATACACTGTGTGTGTGTTTGTGTGTGTGTTTGTGTGTTTTCCAGTTTGCGGAAAGCGATATAAGAACCGCCCAGGCCTGAGTTACCATTACACTCACACACACTTGGCTGATGAAGAGGGTGAAGAAGACTCAGAGCGACACACGCTGCCCTTCCAGCGCAAGAGCAACCACAAACGTGAGTCGACTTTCTGATTCATCGTCCATCTGAATCCACGTCGAGAGGAGTGAATGACGAGAAAATGAAATACGGGGATTGTGTAGGAATTTTCAGAGTAATCTCAACAATTTATCATGATCTTTACATCATGAACTATTGATTGTCTGCTAGAAGTACACACTGATACAGTGCTGACAGGAAGGTCCAGAGGGGTTTGATTCTTATAGGTTTAGAGGATTTGTTCAGCTTTTTCTGAATCCTCATTCAGAACCTCATTTGACCTGAACTGAACAAGTATAGGATTATTACGTAAAGCACATCATGTGATTATATTGCACCAGATGGGAGCCTCTGTATAGAAAACAATAAAAATGTTCTGTTTAAGTCATAGTAAAACGCAGTGCAACGATATTTTTAACCACCAAGTCAAACATGAATGTTTAAAAACAACTGTCTGAATGATCCTAGATCTGTGTTCTGAGATGTGGGGGGTCTTTTTAGTTGAAAACAGTGATTAAAGTAATAGTTCAAATGTTTCAGAGTGCAGTTTTGTTGAAAAGTTACTAACTATAAATATCTTACCTAGTGCAGTGCTATCTGCAGCAGGCGAGATGTTAATTTAGCGTAATCTTTTTAATAAAACATTACAATAAAACTGAAATATCTCATAATTTTACCAGAAACCATGCAAACAGGATCAAATCTGACTGCATTTAAAGACTAGCACTCCCTAATGGAACGCATATACAACATTAAATCATGATAATGATTTTACTTTGAGATGGAGTTATAGCTGTTGTGGTCAAACCATAGAATATGTGTGAGTATGTGTTGTGAATTACTCTCAGCTACTACCCATCAAAGTTTAGCTCCATATTTGTAAAATTGTCTGAGTTATAGCAATTTTTGAGCTAGCTAACGTTGATTAGCCGTGGCGGCCATGTTGAATTGAATGTCTTTAAAATCAGTTGTCCAATGAGTGTTTCATTAAAATGCGTTTAGTGGATTGTGACATATTTTGCTAACAGATCAACACATGTAGACACAGGCAAAAACTATATTGCTATCCTTTGACCTTCCAACACCAGGCATTAATAAATAAAACATGTTGAGAAATGAAAACACCAGCAGTGAATCATGACTATAAGAGCTGGGCTTTCAGCTTGAAATAACAGTGTAGCAACCTCATAACTGCTATTGTCAAAAACACTACAAAGAAGTGGGTCCAAATACATAACTTTACTTACAGTTTGACAATTTAGTAACTGGCTGGTGCTTTCCCCTTTTCATACATCAGGTACAACATTTGTCGAACGGTGTCATTTTAAAATCAGAATCAGAATAAGCTTTATTATCATTGCACCGAGATACAACGAGAACAAACAGACATTAACAACAATCTGAACCCAACCCAACACTAAACCAACTGGAACAACCCATCTGAACATATAACCAGTAAAAGTCTACCTATTTCATTCCTAAAATTACCCAGAAGCCCCTGCGGCTCACCCAGTCTCTTACATTCAAGTACAACTGTAATTTCAACAATTCACACAGAAATTAAACAGTAACTATGGGCTAAGAACACTATCAAAATAAAAGTGTATGTAAAGACAGAAATGTGTGCATGTTAGTCAATAGTTGTGCTTTACTAGAACTTGCACATATATTGTATTTCATTGTATTTTTCATGTCTAAAAATATAAAAATACAATTGAAAAAGTTATAATTTCACAAACATTCAAATGCAAACTTCAAGTTTACAGTTGTGGTTTACTCTTTATGAATACAAAGACCTGTGACTGTTTGTGAATACAGATTTTTTTTTTCTATGAGAATTCGAATTTACAACTGAGATCTTATGTCACAGGTCACAGGCTGGTTAATGGAGCACAGAACACATCAATACGCATTGCACATGCATTATTAATGCTTTCTTTGTTCCAACTTAATAGTACCACCGGAATTTCTTCTAAAAATACAAAAACGAATCACCGGTGGATTATCAGTATACAAAGGAAAAATGTTAGCTGTTCTGTTAGCACTGCATTGGGTGGAAGATGTAAAACCATTAAAAACAATAATCTATTGAGATTCAAGTTCTGTATTACTGAGTTTAAAACACAGTCATTCAGAGAGCAGGCCAGACATTTTATTAGAACTATTCCATACATTATTCAGAATGCAAAAGGATGGGTTTAACAGTAACATTTTATGGGTACCAGCACAAACTGAAATAAAAGGAAACGAGATGGCAGCTATGATGGTAAAGAAGGCAACTCAGAATCACATTAACTTCACGGTACATGCAAGCAAATCAGAGGTGAGGAGTATCATCAAACAAAAACTGAAGAAAAAAATGGCAGAAAAGATGGGATGGAGAAAAAAAAGTAAGATGGTTTTATTAGATCACAAAGGCAGTAGAAGAAACAAGAACTGGAACTTGAATCTGAACGCATGCACAACACGTATCGATGTGTTCTGTGCTCCATTAACCAGCCTGTGGTTACATGACATGAGACCTCAGTTGTAAATTTGAATTCTCATAGAAAAAAAATTGTATTCACAAAAGGTCATAGTTCTTTGTATTCATAAAGAGTAAACAACAACTGTAAACTTGAAGTTTGTGTTTGTTAGTTTGTGAAATTGTAACTTTTAAAATTGTATTTTTTATAAATGAAACATACTAGTTTCATTCTAGTAAAGCACAATGACTTATATGCACACATTTCTGTCTTTACATACATGTTTATTTTGACAGTGTTTTTACCTCAAAGTAACCCACAGAACGCTTTCTGTAAAACTTTATCATGTAATGAAAACCAAAATGCAAATTTATTATTGAAAATTATTAATGTAACCTTAAATTGAATATTTTAACTTAATCCTTTAAAACAAAATATAATTTCAGTGTGAATTTTTTTAATTCACCGATTGTAACTAAATGCATCACAAATGTTTACATGGTCAAAGAAACTGACTGCAGGGCCTTCCCGAAGGCTCAGAGCCCAGTTGTTTGGTCTCACCCATGCTACATCAACACTGTTATTGGTTAGTTTTCCTGTCAGTTATCAAAAAAACTCATCTTGCAGAGACTTTATTTGAGCAATCAATATGTCTATTTCACTGAAGTCCTAACCAGTGAGCAATAACCTTCACACGTTTCTGCACGGAAACACAAATAAAAAAAAAAATCTGATTGGAGAGCTGCATTTTCATGAATTATAATGTTTTACCCAACTGCAAAGAAATTTGCAGAAAATAAAAAAATAGGAAAAAAGAAAATTGACATAAAATATATAAAATAAAAGAATAATAATACAATTTTAATGTAACATTTCGTATATGTTCAATATATGGGCCTTCTCTGAAGGTGTAGAAATACATACACTTTGCTCAGTTTTTATTTATAGATGAAGGAAACAGCATTATTTAAATTTTACAGCTAATACTCACATGGTTGGCATGTCTTACTGTGAACCACTTCTGTATAAATCAGACTCTTAAGAAGTTGTTCTGCAAGTTTTGTCTTTTGAGGACGATGCATTTCTTCCTGTTCAAAGGGAGTTTTTCCTTTCCACTGTTGCCTTTGTTCTTGTTCAGGATGGGAGACTGCGATGAAGTGAAGAGTCAACACAATCTGCTGCTTCCTTAGATAGAGAACTTTACTAACTGGCTTTTTTAATGAATGTTTCTGTGCAGTGCCCTGAGATGACTTCTGCTGTGACTTGGAGCTATAGAAATAAACTGAAATGAACTGAATTGAAACTGAATTGAATTTCCACAATGATGACAGAAAAATTAGTTTATTAGCTGTCAAAAACATGTTTTTAATCTGATGTTTTAAAAAAAATCTTTTAAAAAGGCACAGTTTCTAGCAGTGGTGGAGAAAATACTCAAACACTGTACTTAAGTAAAAGTACAACTAAACAGACAAAAATGTACAGTTGTAAAAGTAGAAGTACCACATTAACATTTTTACTTAATTAAAAGTAAATAAGTACTTGCTTTTAAAAATTCTTAAAGTATTAAAAGTAAAAGTACTTGCTGAATGTATTACCTAATGCAATGGTCTACATATCTTTAAGTCTGCGTACCGTATGTATATTTTCTGTAATACATTAATAGTGTTGAGCCATTTTAATGAACAATGCTGCAGATAATACATGTTTTATTGTGACACAGTTCACACCTGGACTTGTGATTCTGTGCGTCAGAATTTCAGGGATGACATGCAGAGTTAAATGTCATTAATCAAAATAAGAAAGAGAAATGATTTTACCTTTGAAAGTTTTTATTTAACACAACTCAAAACCAATGTGTCATTTTAACTGCAGTAAACACATTTAAGTAAAAGTTGTCTGATAAAAAAAGGAACATTAGACACAACTAACAAAGAAATAGGCACCGATCATTTCCGATCAACTCCAGTTTGTCATCAACTCTAGTTAAAATACTGTCTAAACCTTGTAATGGGTCAATAGTGAACAATATTTTAACTTCCTGACGCCATTTACAAAACTCGGACCCGAGTGTCAAGTCATTTGGAGACATCTCTTGTTTCCTGTTCTAACATCCCATGAATTGACACATTTTAATATTGCAGCAATAATTTCTTGTTGAAGTTCAGAAGAAGTAGTTTTTTAAGTCCAGTCTGGCTCTTTTGGGAGAGAGAATCTGTCCTGCTGTACTGAATAATCTTTAAATAATCTTTCAATAAGGTCATGGGTGGCACGTACTGTATCTTCTGGCTGACTTTCCTTGGTGGAATTCATTTTGTGTGTGTTAGCGGTGCTGTGGGTGCGCCCAGCTCAGTGATGTATATACTAGAATATAGCTCTTCTTGAAGGTGGGTCTAATGTTACCTGCCCATTTTGCATTGATTCAATGGACCAACTCCCCTCTCGCCATTGGTTACTTTCAAATTAACGAACAAATAAAAAAGTTGCAACGTGAATGTAATTTGTAACACAACGCATTATAGAAATGTAGTGTAGTAGAAAGTACAGATATTTAAT